TTAGACAATACTCATGTGTATGGGCAAAAAAACTCGAGGACTGTATTTGTGACTAATTGTATAACAGGTTATTTTAGTTTCTGTTCTCTGGAAAGTGTAAAGCATTCCAACAAAGGGTTTTAATGTAGATTTTTTTTTTGCACCCATGCTGTTGATTGCTAAATGTAATAGTCTGATCATGACGCTGAATAAATGTGTCTTTAAAAAAAAAAAAAAAAGGATGTGAATGGCAAAACATCAAACAAGTTTAAATCCATGAGTTCATAATGATACTAAAAAAAAGTTAAATGAGGGAGCCGGGCAGGTGGCTCGGATGGTTAGAGCGTGAGCTCTGGGCAACAGGGTTGCTGGTTCAATTCCCACATGGGCTAATGAGCTGTGACTGAGCTGAGCTGCCGCTGAGCTGCCAATGGGTGGCCAGGTGGCTAAGCTGGTGAGAGCGTGTGCTCTTGACAAGAAGGCTGCTGGTTTGACTCCCACATGGGATGGTGGGCTGTGCCCCCCATAACTAAGATTGAACACAGCATTTTGAGCTGAGCAGCTGTGAGCTGCTGACAGGCGGCCGGATGGCTCAGTTGGTTAGAGCGTGTGCTCTTAACAACAAGGTTGCCAGTTTGACCCCTGCATGGGATTGTCGGCTATGCCCCCCCCTCCCCCCACAGCTAGATTGAAAGCAGCGACTGGACTTGGGAGCTGAGCTGCGCCCTCCACAACTAAGATTGAAGGACAACAACTTGACTTGGAGCTGATGGGTCCTGGAAAAACACAGTGTTCTCCTTCCCCAATTCCCAATAAAATCTTTAAAAAAAATAAATAAAAGTTAAATGACCAATCTTGGAGTATTGTAGGAAACCAGTCCTTCATTATTAAAAACTAGTTATTTTTGGGCCAGCCAAGTGGCTCATTGGTTAAGAGTTGGCTTGGGACGCCAGTTCTGAGCAGCAGGAACCTGGTTCAGATCCCACATTAGGGCCAGTGACACTGCGCCCTCTACAGCTAAGGTGGTGAACAACAACTCAACCTGGAGCTGGGCTCCCGTGAGTCGACGTCGATGGCGTAGGCTGCAGCCCCTGCTGCAGTAGGCTGCCATGAGCTACCGTGAACGGCTGGCAGCCAGCATGGGCAGCTGGCGTGAGCTGCCATGAGTGGCCGTCCAATGGCCGGTGAGTGAAGGCCTAACCTGGGAAGAGCACAACGATAATAACATGGGCCAGTGAAGCAACGTCCTCCACAACTAGACTGAAGAACAAAAGGACAGCAACTTGTTTGTTCCCCTTCCCTGATTCCCCAATAAAATCTTAAAAAAAAAAAGTTATTTTTTCTTTAATGAACACCCTTCTTATCCAATTTGAACAGTGTGACTACATACATAAACAACCAGTAGATGGAGCTCAGTTTCTTTTTAAAGAATTATTACAGTGAATAAATGAAGAAGAAATGGTAGAATACCACCATTTTGAACTCCCACTGAAAGAGTGAATCTAGGCACTCAAAAAGCACCATAACCAGATATTGCGTCATGATGGCAGAACGTAACAGCACCCAGGATGCAGCATTGTCAAAATTAGATAAAAGAAAGAAAAAGCACTTGAAGCTAGGATAACAACCAACCTTCAGGAACTGGTGAGAGCCCAAGATGTCACCTCACCTTGGCTACTCAAGGCATGGCCCACTGACCATGAATGTCATAGAGATTGTAGTAGAGAGTATCATCAGCAACCCAAGAAATCAGGGTGAAATATGAGAAAAAAACAAGGTGAGAGGGGGATGTGGTGAAGATAAAGTTCATGGTGGTGGTTTCCTCCCCAGAAGCCGTGGGCTTTGGACCTTGCCAGGTCCAAACGCCTCAGGGGTGCACCTGCTCCCTGCTCAGCTGGGCTGCTTGCCGTAAGGATGGCTTGTCCCAGCCAGACTGGCTCTCACTTTCTTTGTATATACTGTCTTCTTATCTTTTTCCTCACAGCCATTGAAGCTCTTTCCCTTGCTTCCATAAGACAATCACATCTGAAATGAACTGTCCTGCTTTCAAAAATTGAAATGCCATGTGATGTAGAACTTAAGAAAAAAATGTCAGCTCACAATTTTTTTGATTGAGCCTTAGTCAAATTTATAACAGCCTAAAAGTCAAAATCTTAGAGACTTCAGAAGAGAAAGGATTAAAGAATTAACAGGTGGACCAGGCAGATAAGGAAAAGGTCTTATTTTAAACCTCCGAGGGCCTTATCCCTGGAGGCGAGTACAACATGGTAGCTGACAGTATGGATCCTGGGCCAAAATTCTTAGGCTCAGTTCTTGCTTCTGCCTTCTCTGTCTGACCTAGTCACTTTATGCCCTACAAGACTCATCTACAAATCAGACATACTATCATGTCTTTCTCATAAACTTGTGAGAATGAAACGAAATGTATTTATATGCACACAGTGTTTACAACAATGCCTGGTATAGAGTAAGCACAATATAAGCCATTAATATTATGCTTGTTATTTTACTAACAGTAAGTTAAGAAATTTCTTGAGACATTTACAAGATATTGTCATCCAATGTTTTAACTCAAAGTTCATGGATTATAACTTTCAACCTCACTTCAAGCGCAATGCATAGGAAATGAAATACGCTCACTTTGGTTTTATACGAATTCTGTTCATTCAGTCTACCTCTACATCAGGCAGAAGCTGGTTAACTACAGAAAATCAAGCCACTGTGTCGAGCCATTTTCCTTTAAGGTGGGCCCAAAGTATTAATACCACAGGTCACTGACAGCAATTTGGGGATAAACATATCACAGTATAAAGCTTGGTTTCTTTGAAGATGGTCATGAAATAAATGTTCTAGAATTCTAATGCATTCTTTGGTCTTCTTAATTACAGCAAGGGCCAGACAAAGGTGGGAAGATCACTGATGGATGAGAAGATGAAGGTACGTAATGCCCATTCCCAAATCGACAAAATTCAGAGCATTTCCTGGGAATAAGAAGAGACTCAACTAGTTTCTTGAATGGTAGTCCTGAAATTCACAGTGGAGGGGGCTGACATTCCAGGGAGCAGAGTCAAAGTTTATGACTCAGGCAACTTACTCAGTGAGACCAAGTTACTGTAGTTCTCCAACATCACATCCCAGTACAGGTCCCTCTGTGTAGAGTCCAGACACGCCCACTCCTCCTGAGAGAAGTCTATGGCCACATCTGAGAAGGTCACCAGACTCTGAAAACACAAGCCCACATGTCCCCGATGAAATGAGGAGATAGTTTCAAGATGAAGGAAAGGAGAGGAAGGGCTACGCTTTGAGTGGGGGCAGATACAGCGGGTAGAATGAAAGCCTGTGATATGGGACGGGGCGCAGTAAGGTCATGGCAGTGATCGAGACAGGATCACTACAGGTTACTGAAAGCCCAGCTGCTGCACAGAAAACCGCCTACATCCCGTGGAATTCTTACTCATCCTGACCTGCCCGGACATGGATAATTCCCTGCCATTCACAAGCATAATGCCCGCCACGTGCCTGCCTTGTAACTTCTCAGCCGGTGTGGATTCCTATGGCATCCTTTGCTGTTTGAGGGGAAAGAAAAAAATTCCTACACTTTTGTTTCTATGTAACGTAATATAAGATCTTTTACCTTCAAAAATAGGGTTTGTATGTTTGGATGTTTTCAAGCCTCAAGTTCAACATTTTGCCAGGCTATCATTGCTTTGTAATGACAAAAGCATTTCTTATTCCATCACACAGACAGATTAGACTTAATTATTACATTTATACACTTGGGTTGAACAAAACATGTAAGATTTCCCCCCATTCTGGGGCCATATGATCATCTACTACTTCCGTCCTGGATAGCCTAATCTGTTACCACCTGCCACCCTGTCTGCCCTTTGTTCCTGATTTAGAAGATAACATTATCAAATGATGCAGAAGCATATAGACGTCTGGGAGGTCTGTTCGACAACAAAATTGACCTCTTGGGTTCCCTGACAACATGACTTCTAAGTCTATAGCTCCAATCACAGCCCTCTGCAATCCCAAAGCTGCATAAAGCTTGAGCTCTCACCACACACTAAGCCTGAGACCAACGAACATAAACACTCCCTCTTACCTTCCTGAAAAAAAGATCAGCGGGGATCAGTTGAGAATTCTCATTTTCTCCTGTAGTCAAGTGGGACCAACTTCTCTAAGTCACCAATCACAAACCCAACGCAAATATTTCTCTTAAGGGACTTTCTTCCTCCATTGTTACAACATTACTCATTTTTTGGTCAACAGTCTTGATGTGGCCTTCTCTTTATATCCTTAGTTATAAGGGTTCTGTTCAGCTAGTCTTCAGATGATTCCCAAAATTGAACTGTTCTGTAATTAGTTGTAATTTTAATGTGATCATGGGAGGCGGCAGACATAGCATTTATCTACTCCACCATCTTTTACCTCCCCACAACATTTCTCTTGACAAAAAACTGAGCACAAAGGAGATACTAAACAATCAGTTCCATGGTTACAATCAAGTCCATGGTTACAGGAACATTAGCCACAAAAGGTGGGCATGGGGCTACATGGCATCACCATTCACTGGAACAGGAAGAACTGGGAGGTAATTAGATGATATTCCTGGGCAGGGGGCTTCAGAATAATTCATAAAGTAGCCACAGGACCCAAACCCCACATTTCAAGAAGGAAAGAGAAATACTTACGTGGGCCATAGTTTTAGAATCCAGAACTGATCAGTTGTCTTGGAGTTTCCTTTTACCGAAGACACAAAATCCAGAGAAACCAGAGCTGGACTGGAGGAGAAAGAGGCATCGAAGTAAGTGCACCTTGGTTCCCAAAATGACTTACAACCTTTTTGCTCCTCCGTCTTTGCTTCTAAAGAACCCATGGCTCCTTCGCCCATACACATACATAAACACATCGGAGAAGATTAAGAGGATTCTATAAAACAACAAGCGCTCCCTGAAACTCCAGGAAACCCAGTGGCACAGAACAGAGCAGAGGAGCTTTTATGTATTTATTTTTCACCTTGACTTGAAGACCCAACCATTTTAGCAGGGTTTGTGGCCAGCTCCCTGTTGGTGCGTAGGTATTAAGAAATTGGCCTCGACCAAAGAGACAGCTGGCCTTTGTCCTCAGCTTCTGAGAGGAATCTGCATCATACCTAATAGAAAGGGCTCTATTTTGGGTGCTGGCTGGCCATTTCCACGTCGTAGGGGGGAGCTGTCCCTGCTAGACAGACCAATCAGGTGATTCTGGGTGGAGGGTTTTGGGGCATGAGTATCAGTTGACCGGAAGGCTGAGCAATGAATGAATCAATCACGTCTACAGAATCAATCAACCAACTGTGTCTATGCGATAAAGTCCTGGTGAAAACTCTGGACATCGGAGCTAGGTGAGCTTCCATAGTTGGCAGTGCTCTGTGCATGTTGTCAGGCAGTAATGCCAGTAGAGTAATGAGTCCTGACTCCCTGGGGAGAAGAAGTTGGAAGCTCGTGTTGGGAGCAGCCCTGGACCTCCTTGCCTTATGCACCCGTTTCCTTGGCCAACGTTAGTCTGTACCCTTTCCCTGGAATAAACCGTACCCGTGTAAAACAGCGCTCAGAGTTCTGGATGCCCTTCTAGCTCTGTATTATTGATCCTGAGTTTGGTTTCAGGAAACTCCTGAACCTGCAGTTGGTGTGAGAACTGAGGGTGGTCTTGGGTGGAGACTGTGCCCTCAGACCTCACAGTTTGGCTCACTCTGGGAAGGGGGGCTATGATCTGGACCTGAGACTGGGTGTTTCTAGGACTCTTTGTCTCACTCTGAGCACATCCTGCTCCCTCTGGTCACATCGTCCAGGGTGAAGAGGGCCTGCATCATCCAAACCTGAGTCTCTTCTGGCCTCCAGAGAGGGTGATGTAGGTCAAGACATGGCAGATGGATGGGGTGGTGGAGGGACTGCTCAGGCAGCGGTCAGCACTGAGTCCAGAAGAGCTGACTGCATGAACACATGCAGATGATCAATGCAAACACTGACATTAGTGCTTATTCAGTGCTAAGACAGGAAATACTTATACATGAAAGGCATTTCAGATATATTACCAATCGGAAAATCAGGTACCAAAACATGATACAGAAATACATTTGTAAAATTCTATATATGAATATATACACACATGTATAATTTGATGTGTGTATATCTGATATATAAACACACACACACACACAGGGAGGGAGAGAGAGAGACAAACACACAGACATTGACAAACCATAAGACATCACAGAAAGAGATATAAAAATAGAAAGAAAATATCCTGGAAAGTTACAACATATCTCCCCATGTATAAGATGCACCTTAATTTTGGGGCCCGAAATTTGAAAAAAAAAAGGTATTACATAAAGTTATTGAACTCAAGTTTTATTCGTCATAAAATTCATACAGCTCCTCATCACTGTCAAAACTCCCAACCATAGCCAGTCGGATTGTTTTCTCAGTTGGAGGAGGACTGAACTTACGTTCAGCAGCACAATTTCTGTTCATTTTTGCAAACTGGATCACTTTTTTTTTAAAGATTTTATTGGGGAATTGGAGGGGAACAGCATTGGGGAATTGGGAAAAGGGAACAGACAGGTAGACAAATTGCTGTTTAGTTCTTCAGTCTAGTTGTGGAGGATGTGGCTTCACTGACCAATGTTGGTATGATCATTGTGCTTTTCCTGGGTGAGGCAATCGGTCGCTGGTCATTGGTCAGTCACTTACGGCAGCTCTCCCTGGCTGCCAGCTGCTCACGCTGGCTGGCCAGCCACTCATGTAGCTCACAGCAGCCCACTGCAGCCCCGCTGCAGCCTATGCCGTCGCCAGCAACTCACAGCAGCCCAGCTCCAGATCGAGCTGTTGTTCATCATCTTAGTTGTAGAGGGCGCAATGTCACTGGCCCTTAATGTGGGATCCAAACTGCAGCCCTGCTGCTCAGAGCTGGTGCTCCCAAGCGAGCTCTTAACCAGCTGAGCCACTCGGCCGGCCCAAACTAGATCACTTTTAATTTGAATTCAGCACTGTACCGAAATCTTTTCTGAGCCATTTCTGGGCAGAACATGGCAAAATGTAACCTAATATACTGGTAACAAGTGTGAAACAATGAGTGCAAAGACAACAAGCGAGAAAAAGTGGGAAATGCAAGTAACAAAAATCTACAACCACTCTAGAAGACGCACCCAGTTTTTAGACCCAAATTTTTCAAAAAAGGGTGCGTCTTATACATGGGGAAATATGGTATAGGCTTTGTAGAGAAAAGAGTTAACACCACAAGTCTGAAGCTGCTATCCTTAGGCTTGCTTGCAAGACCGGTGCTTGGCTAGACTTCCAGAATGTTCCCACCATTCCCTAACTGCTAAGAGTGGTTCACTGTTCTACAATTTAGGTATGTGCTAAGGCAGGGATGCCTATGTGGCTGACCCCAATATAAACCCTGGCCTCCTAGGCAGGAGAGCGTCCCTGGTAGACAACACTGTACACTCATTGCCAGAGGAACGAAGCACATCTCCTGTGTGATTGCACTGAGAGAGGACTCTAGGAAGTGTGTGCCTGTTTTCCTCCAGATGTTGTCCTGTGCACCTTTCCCTCTGCTGACTTTGCTGTGTATCCTTTCACTGTAATATTTCTTAGCCATGAGCAGGACTATAGGTTGAATCCTGTGAGTCCATCTAGAGCAGCGGTTCTCAACCTTCCTAATGCCGCGACCCCTTAATACAGTTCCTCATGCTGTGGTGACCCCGACCATAAAATTATTTTCATTGCTACTCTATAACTGTAATTTTGCTACTTTTTTTTTTTTAAAGATTTTTATTGGGGAATTGGGGGGATGGGAACAGTGCTGGGGAATTGGGGAAAGGGGAACAGACAAGTTGCTGTCGTTTTGTTCTTCAATCTAGTTGTGGAGAATGTTGCTTCACTGGCCCAAGTTGGCACCATCATTGCGCTCTTCTCTGGCGAGGCAGATCAGTCACCGGCTTCTGGACGGCCGCTCACTGCGGCTGCTGGCCGCTCACGCTGGCTGCTGGCCACACAAGGCAGCCCATGGCAATCCACTGCCACAGGGACTGCAGCCCACGCCGTCGCCGGCGACTCACGGCAGCCCAGCTCCAGGTTGAGCTGTTGTTCAGCATCTTAGCTGTAGAGGGCAGCGTCACTGGCCCTCATATGTGGGATCCGAACCGGGGCCCTCTGGCATCCCAAGCGAGTTCTCAACCATCGCGCCACTCGGCCGGCCCTAATTTTGCTACTTTTATGAATCGTAATGTAAATATCTTTTTGTTTTCCGATGGTCTTAGGCGACCCCTGTGAAAGGGTCGTTTGACCCCCAAAGGGATCGCGACCCACAGGTTGAGAACGGCTGATCTAGAGAATCACTGAACCTGGTAGTGGCCTTGGTGACTCCGACACATCCTTTGATCTTGAGTATACCTAACTGGGTATTGTAACCATAGCCATGCATTGGCTTGGCAAATATAAACGTGTGTGCATTTATTTCTTTTAAATTTATTAAGAGGCAGTTACTCTTAAAAGCCAGAGAAACTTTGTTTTTTTTTTGAAGTTTCCTCTTGAATTGCAGGAAAAGCTCAGAATATATTATTTTTGGATTATCTTAATGAATAACTTTTCTTTGTTTCCTTTCACTTCCTAATACCTAAACCAACTCTTTGATGTCTATATATACCCACAAATGTCAAAGTACCGACTGGAAAAATGACTGAAATTTCAAGTGATGCCTTAGATACTGACGGCTGTCTCGATGCTGCTTAGTTTATGTCTTGGTGGGGGAAAATTTTACTTTTGAACTTGTCCTTTCAGCTGTGGTGTCCTGCAGATGGCTGCTAGATCACTTCACCCTATTAGTCTTCACTATGCATCAAACATTAGAAAAAATACATAAGGTATAAACCTAGAAAATAAATTCCCTTTATCTCCACATAGAGCCTGTGCATTCAGAATTATTTGGTCGTGACCTGGTGTCAGTGGCTATAGTGAGAATGACACACCCTGTCCTTAGCACCTCTCAGGGCACATCACCTGGAATTCACCACAGGCTGCTCTGTGCTTCTTCCATTCAGACCGTCCCTTCCTTGCTGGATTACAAGCAGTGTACAGGTAACTGTGTGCTTTCAGTCATTCTGTCATTCCAAGTACCAATGTCACTGAGTCAGGCATATTGCAGGCACTTAACAAAACTAGGATTTTGACTCAAAAGTCCACTTTTTGGAATGTATCACAAGGAAGAAGCTATAATAGTACACATATACATGCACAAGAATTTTTTTATGAGACAGTTGTTCTTTTTTTTTTTTTTTAGCTGAGCCATTCTGCCACCTGTTGGCAGCTCAGCGCCAGCTCAGCTTGGGCTGGGCATTGAACTGCTGTTGCTCAGAGCTTGCAACTAAGCCACTCGGCAGGCCGAGACAGTTGTTCTTTTAAATTGAGGTAATTGCAGATTCATGTGCAGTTGTAAGAACTCATTCAGAGGGAGCCTGTGTACCCTTTACCCCAAGGGTACTACACCACAAAACCATACAGTACAATATCACGACCAGGATGTTGGCATTCACACAATCCATTAATTTTATTCAGATTTTCCAGGGAATTCTTTTTAAAAAAATTTAAAAGTAGAATATAAATATTTCACAGTAGGGGATAGAGTAAATAAATTATAGTCTGCTATAACGGCATGTTTACTAATAATGATATTGATTTATATTAATTGAGAAAGGAATCTAAGATGAATTACCAAGCAAAGAAGGTAGGTTTAAAAAGAT